GGATTTTACCCCAACATAACTTCCATAGATACTTGTTTATTATGTATATTGATCATTCAATAAAACAATCCAGCACTATGTTGACATGAATTTTTCATGAAAACGATGTCTGAAAGAGAAGTAAAATTTGTCACATGCACATGTGCGAAGCCATAAAAAACACTGAATTTGAGAATTACATAGTACTGTATAGTATGGTATGTTGTGTTGTATGCATGCTAATAACAGTTACAATTCGAGCGGATTTTCTTTTTTTTAATTATTTTTCACTTCACTTTTATGACGTTAAATCAGGGTTCGTAATTGAGGGTTTCTACTGTATTGTATAATCTCAAAATCCGAATTTCTGACAAGCGACTGATTTGGCTTGACCACGCCACATATACTGATGAACATATACTGATGAACTAAAAATAAAAATCTGAACTGACCAGAGTTCATCGCGTACTGCAGTTGAACAGTGACTTGTGTTCACAGTCAAGCTTATTCAGAATAAGTTCAAACACAAACATGCCTCTGAATATGGACACTCTCTTGTAAATGTTTCTTTTCACTATTATTGCATGTTTAGACGACCTTCGTCCAAATTAAATTTACAACAGATGTTTAATGATACACTTGTTACTGCAGACCAGTGTACACACATTGATACCCAAGGCAAGTGCTAATTTGACATTTATTTATTTTTCACTAGACAGTAGAATGCTTCTAATATTCAAAAAAGTGTCTTTCTTATCTCTTGAAGCAGATCGTATGGCAATGTTTTACTATAGAAATCTGCATTTAAATTTTGTTCTCTGTCAAGACGCAGTTTTAATTCAATTCCAAGTAAGCAAACAAGCAGGTTTATGGCCAAAGGTGGATAAATCTAAACTGCATTTATTCTGCAAACACGTTCCACCGGTTTGACAGCTCCAGGCAAGTACAACTTACCTACGAAAATGTTCCCTGAGGTTGGTTGTGTAATCACTGCACTGTGCTCTGGGCTTCTCAAATGCATTATCAATGCATCTATATACAATCCCCCAGAGTTTAAGGTGTGAGGAAAGAATGTATTTATAAAAGGCATTTAAAATCTTGACAATCGCACCTGGTTACAAGATACCTGGTGCTACAATCAACTGATTATTTTGTGACAGGCTCATTTACTGAAATTTGAAGTACTTTAAACAAATTATGTAATAAAGAAAAGTGCAAACTGTTTAAAGGAATATAAAGAGCCTTTCAATCATTAAAATATTTCTGTCCGCCTTAACAAAAAATTGAAGAACAGTCACAGGGCAATCAAAAGCAACCATGAAAGGGTACTGTACTATTTTCAATAAAATGAAATCCAACAGTTTGATCAATTGTTTGGACAGAACCACTAATCAATAATTCATAAAAAAACATGCAACACAAATACATTATTCTTATATTCAAATTTTTGGGAAATGTATTATTTTAAGAGATTTTTGTTTGATTACAAAGGAGTGCCAAGAAATTCCCATTACTAGTGAAAGCCCTTGAATTAATTAGTAAATAATTAAAAATAGTAGAAGTATTAATAAATCATAGAGGCCCTCTATTTTAAAGATATTCTATCTATGAAAAAAAAATAAATGCAATACATGAACAGATTGAACATCTTTACATTGCTTCTAATAATGGTTGGAAGGTAATAACTTGTTTAATCCTTTAAAATAAGATATCCAATATTTAACTTCAAATTCTTAGTTCAGTTTTTCTATATCTTATTCATTCATTTTTTATTTCAGAATCTCATATCCATAAAATACCCCCCCCCCAAAAAAAAAAAACAGAACAAAAAAGAAACATGATGATTACAAGTACTAACAAGAAAAAGTGGATAAACACAATTTGCTGCATCCACAGTACAGTGTATTTTCAAAATTTACTTAATAACATAAGCAATCTAGCAATAGATCTCTATTCTAATTTTCAATTTGTCAAAGATGTGTTCCAAGAGTAATATTTGAAAGACTACTTTGATTTAAAGAAATAACATATATAAAATTGAATGATTCTGAGTGCCCATTATTAATTATCAGTCTACTCAAATAAGACATAAAACCCCAGACATAAAAAGAATCCCAGACAAATATAATAGCATCTCATGGCATGTAGGCATTAAATCTGAAGTTTTTGCATTACAGATTGTGCTTTTCTCTGATTTATTAGTGGCCCTTAGTGCAATTTTTCCATAAAAATTTTCATCTCTTTTAATAATCTTTTAAACTACTCTATGGATATGTAAAATACATCATAACTTTACAACATTGAACTATAATGTAAAGTTATATTATAATTTATATACAAAATATATTGTAACATTACATTAGTTTAATGAAACCCTACTTTGCTATTTTTAGAAAATTAAATTTTAAATTCTTATTGCATTTATATGTATGCCCAACATTCAGTATATATCTGTTTTTATGCTCAAAGTAAAGCAATATATTTAAATAATCAGAAATATATTTTCTTTGGTTGCAATTATGAAATTGAATAGCGGAACACACAAAGACCCTTTCCATCCAAAAACATTGTTTTGTGTGAGTATAATGAAATTCAACTTATTGTACCTGGTACACTGTATGGCTCAGAATTAATTTTCAATTTAGTTAATGGTCACAGCATAAGCATAATTAAAGACGGAGTTTCTTTTCACTTCATTGAAAAAAAAATTTATACAGGAGGGGATTTACAGATAAACATCTGTCGGTGAAACAAAACAAAGGCAATCTCGAGAAAAGTTCATGCAGAACCCTTTCAATTTTATTGGATTCTGATTTCTAAATTTTAAAATAAAATTCATTTATTCAGTAACATTTATTCAAATCAATTTTTTTGAAAATACAATATAAAAGCTATAGATTACAATTTAGGAATCAAGAAGTTAAAAACTTGTCTCAAAATGATCTTTTAACAAAAAAAAAATATATATATATACAAGATATACATAAATAAGAATATAAATTATACTGTACAGGAAGAGTTTTTTATAGTAATAGTTAAGACATTATTTATACACAAAAATGTGTATAAATACGTGGATCCGCACAGACAAGCATGATATTCAGTCTGACATGATTGGATTCAAGTCTTCCGAAGTTGTGGAATCGTGTGTTTGGCACCAAGAGGACTGACAATGTACAAAGCGATTTATGTTAGGTTTAACGTACCCTTGTTTCCATTGACCCAGCATTCAAAAATATTTATATACACAGTGAAAAATTCATTGTGACAACTGACAAGCAATTGATATACTTTTAGATAGGAATTGTTAGAGTTTAAGATTGCCAAAAAATAAATATTTAGCAATTTGGCTAATTCGGTATCAAAATAATTAGCCAAATAGAAATTTAATTAGCCAAAACAAAAACAAAAAATTGGCAATGATAACTTCAATTCCATTAGCCTTTGGCTAATTTTGGATAGAAAATATTTAGAAAAATTCAGCTTGTATTAGGATTTGGCAATTTGGCTGATGATACATTTGTAAAAAAATAACAAATTTCCTGCTGCATTGAAACTATAGGCCGACTAGAACCCAGATGAAATTGAAAAGTCTGAATCTATCAAATAATCACCCTAATGTTTTAGTAATTGGCTCCTTTTGAGGGCTGACAAAAATTTGATTAATTAATCACCAGCACTTACTGTAAATATTGCATATTGGCTTTTAAAAATGGAATTGGAATTCTGAGAATAAGTGCATTACAGAAGCATTCCTATAAAAGATGAGATGTATTTTACAGCAGGTGTCATTATGTCTGACACATTAGGTCTTCAATCTTATGTGTAATAAACATTGAAATGGTTTTATATTTAAGAGGCTTCATTCTTTATGAATTGAAGACATACTGTTTGGGTGGAAAACAAAAATGTGAAAAATGAAATTCTATGTTTGATCTGTAATAATTTTGTATGTAGAGATTTCAATTTAAAATTAGAAAAAAAAAAAGGAATTCGCTTGCCAATTAACAAACGAATACACACAGACACAGACTTTAAATTGGCTGATAGGCCTGACCAACTAAAGAATTTTTGTAGCAATAACTCAGCAAACACAAAATGTTATGGTAACATAAATAAACACAAAATGTTATGGTAACATAAATGTTGTATTTAGGTACAGTATGTCTTAAAATCATGTTGACACGAAGTCACAATCACAGCAATATTAAAATGTTATTTAGTTCCGAAAATATGTTCTAAATACATATTTATTATTCTACAAAATAATGTTTCTACACCAAACTGTAATGCTACTGTATTATAACGTCCACCAAACTGAAACTAAAGTTACACCAAAATATAATGTTATTGTATACAGTAAGTTTTACAGTCTAAAATACAGACATCCACCTTCAATCAACTTTTTAAATAGCAAAAATATATACAGCCAACCACAATTACTGGTTTGGATAAGGAGTGACTAATGATTATTACTAGAAATTGCAAATTGCAAGTGAAGTGCTACGAAGTACAACTGCATAAAATGTTCTTCAAACAAAATTATTTATGCAAGTCAAGTGAAAATAATGAATAATAAAAATATAACAAATAATATGAGCACGACCCATTGTCTATATTAGAACAGCGTTGGTACCGTGTACAATAGTGTTTTGCTGCAGTGACATCACTCTGCTGGCGACTCGCTGCTGCTGGCGATGACTCGCTGCTGGCGAATCGATCGGCGCATGTGTATAAAATGGTATTTATTTCCGAAAACACTATGCCAGTCTACAACAAGCGTCGCCTAAATGTAATAATTAGCACGTTGAAATAAGCTAGTAAATAAGTTTAACTGGGTTCGTAAATAATATTGGCCTCAAAATATTGTGGTAGAGACATGAGCCGATTAAACGCAGAAATAGGAAACCTAGAAATATAATAAAAACGCTGAATAGTACTCTAGCGTCGCGACATGCCGACGTTGGTACGAGTAATTGATTTTACCCGGCAGAACGAAACTCCGCTTTTCAGTTGTCTTAGGCGATTGTTTTTTGACAAACAATGACCTTTCAGAGGTCAAATTGCTGTCGAGAATATGAATTGGCTGCTTCGCAGCAATGAGTTTTGAGGTACTCTCCCAAATTCTTGACAAGGTTCTAATAAAGAACAAAATGTAGAATCAATTATGGCCTCACATTTGTCATTCTTTGGAGTCACCATACTCATATTCTTTCTATTGCCAAATAGGAAATCTATATTTTACAAATCTAATTTGAATAATAATATTTAGGTCTGAGGCAATGTAAGCAAGCAAATGTGGTAGACATATGATAACTAAATCATTTTTACAGTTGATTTACTGCTACCATCTGATGACACAAAATGATCAATTTACTCACAATTGCACTATAATTTACATGTGTGATGTACCTTGAAAACAAGAGATATCGGACATAACATGTACAAGGAACACGAAAAGATATTAAAAAGTCAAGAGCGAATTGTTTAAATAGTGCCTACAATCCAGTAAGTACAAATTAATGAGCAAAATAATTGCACAACATACAAAAAGTATAATAAATTATAAGCCAAGATAGTAATGTCATTGTATGATATTGTTTGTAATTGTTTAATAGTGCCTACAATCCAGAAAGTACAAATTAATGAGCAAAATAATTGCACAACATGCAAAAAGTATAATAAATTATAAGCCAAATAGTTAATGTCATTGTATGATGTTCAATATAATTTTTCAATTCCACACTATGCACCAAATTACTGATAGTGTATGATGGTCATTTGAGTTCTATCTATTCGACAAAAGCTTCCATTATTTTTTTTATGTACTGCAATTGTTTTGATGCCTGGCCAAAGGAACACGAAAAGATATTAAAAAGTCAAGAGCGAATTGTTTAATAGTGCCTACAATCCAGTAAGTACAAATTAATGAGCAAAATAATTGCACAAGATACAAAAAGTATAATAAATTATAAGCAAAATAGTAATGTCATTGTATGATATTGTTTGTAATTGTTTAATAGTGCCTACAATCCAGTAAGTACAAATTAATGAGCAAAATAATTGCACAACATGCAAAAAGTATAATAAATTATAAGCCAAAATAGTAATGTTAATGTATATTATTGTTTGTAATT